GCCAGAACCTTCTGGGACGAGTGAGACTCGTCCCACGCGTGAAACGCCAGCCCAGGGAACGTAGCTGTTGCAGCCAGGGGTGCACTTAGATCCGCCCCATCGCTGCACCATGCCCGAGTCTCCTGTCGCACATGCCTGTGCAAGTCCCCGTTCAGCTTCCCGCCTGCCGTCTGGCACGCGCGACGGACGCACTCCTCCAGCATGGAAGCCTTGCCGTCGCAGTCCATGCCCCGCGGGAACTCCCGCATCCCGATCACCCGATCCACGATCCAGGGCCCTCTGGGGCCCAGCTGTTCCAGCCGGCCTGCCTTGAGACCGTAGCTTGGGAAGAAGTCCAAAGCCTTCGGGATCGACCACAGCGCGGTGCCAATTTCGACCTGGTACGTGCGGTCGAGGCCGTCCGCAACCAAACGAAAAACAGCACCATGTTTGAGGATCCTCTGCGTGATGATCTTCTCGTGCTGAGCCATGCTGGTCACCAGCCTTCGGCGCTGCCGACTAGACTCCAAAACTTGGCGGTCGCCCCCAACGAACGCACCCCGCCACACGTCGAAACTACTGCAGGAACTGGTTGTCTCCAACATAGCACGGGTGGCGACCACTGCGCGGCAACCAGGGCGCTGGTCGGCGTTGCGGACGACGGCGGGCGCAGGCGCCACGGCTGTTGCAGCTGCTGCAGCTGATGCAGCCGTTGTGGAGAACACAAACACGGGGAGACCCTGGTGCGCACCTTCCGCTCGAATCCGCTCTTTCCACGCCGCTTCTGCTGCCTGGTGCCCCTCGCGCCGCGCATGGCGCACGAGGTTTTCCTTGCGTTGGAAACTCGCGGATCCCTGGCCTATGGTGGAATAGCAGCGAGCGCCCTTGAACGCCGAGCAGAACAAGCAGACTGCAAATCTACCACCAACGCAGCCTATCCAAGTTTCACTCTTCAGTGTTACTGGATTCGTCGCAGACACCGAGGCGCTCCACTTCTCCTTGTTCTTCCAAAATTTGCAAGCGCCGCAGTTGGAGACGTGCTTTGGGTAGTCGTGGCTGGCGACGTGCTCCTCCAGGGTCATGGGCAACGAAGGCGGGAACTTCGCGACTACTTTGCTCGGGGCGGCCTTCGCCTTCGCTCTTGCAGCCGCGGCTGCCTCGCTGCTGGAGCCGCTGTCCTCTTCGGAGCCGCTGTCGGAGCCGCTGTTGGAGCCGCTGTCCTCTTCGGAGCCCGCTGCGTCGGCAACTCCGTCGGCGCCGTCGGCGTCGGACCCTGCGTCAGCATCGGCGTCCGAGCTGTTGCAGCTGCCACGGCTTGGCGAAGCTGCCCTCGACGAGGCCGCAGCAGGCCTCGGGCTCGGGCTCGGCGAAGCTGCCCTCGAAGAAGAAGCAGGGCTGGGCGAAGCTGCTGCCCTTGAAGAAGAAGCAGGGCTCGGCGAAGCTGCCCTCGAAGAAGAAGCAGGGCTCGGCGAAGCTGCCCTCGAAGAAAGAGAGGGCGACGAGGCTGGAGGGCGCGGGGAAACCGCCCCAGCGGACGACGACACTATTTTGAGCCAAGTCCTACGGACCACAATGGTGACGATGGTGATGGTGATGGCGATGCTGATGGTGTGGATGGTGATGATGATGATGGTGATGATGATGATGATGATGATGGGGATGGTGATGATGGTATGGTGAGGGCGGTTGTGATGGTGATGATGGCGATGGTGATGATGGTGGTTCTGGATGTGAGGAGCACCACCATCATCGCCATCACCATCGCCACCACCATCAGCACTACGATTTGATAATCACCATCATGACAATCGTCGTCGGCATCAAAACACAAAAACATTCAACCGACTCAACCTAAATCCGGCCTAAATCAAGCCAGACATCGGAGGAGGCGCCGCTGGAGCTGGCGCAACGCCGGCGGCGCGTGCGGCGCGCCCGATGGTGGTGGGCCAGTGCGAGCGTCAGCCGAGGACTCGCAAGGAGGCCAACCACAACGTCCCCGCCCCCAATGACGGCGACGAGCGGGTCGCGGCTCCAGGCGAAACTGAGCGGCGCGGAAGATCGACATCCAGAAAGAAGACGACGGAATTACCGATGGATGAGGCTCGCAAGTTACATGAGCGCTTGGAGCATGGATCCTACGAGCAGGTCGAGCATGACCTTGGCGACGTGCTGGAGGGCGATATCCTAGTGGCGTGCCTGCTGGCGGTCGCAGGACGCAGCAAGCGCCGCCGAGCTAGTCGCGACGTGGAAGAGATCCCGGCGGGCAAGGGCAGCGAGAAAGGAAAAGGCAACTCACGGAGTGCACGCAGAGTTGACCCAGACGAATGTGTATATCCAACGGATCAGCTCGCGACTGTCGGCACCAACCAGTAGACGCACTGCGCGTGGATCGAGACGAAGTGACGGTCCGAGGAGAAGGAGCTTCGCGCAGAGGTCAAAGTCATCCGCCTCGAGAAGCAGAAGCGGGAGCTCCTGCGTCGGTCGAGAGCACCGACGGCCGGGCGATCCTCGACGGGATAAGCTGCTACATGACACAGTCGCTCAAGTTATCGTGAGTGTTCGGCACCTCCATATATACATATTTCTTCTTTGTAGTTGAACTGAGCCCGCGTCGGCTCGTGGGCGTGCCGAGCCAGAAAAATAGCATGAGTGTGATTTGTGGGGGATGAAGACCAGATTTCCCCTGTTCAACTGGACTGACATGCTGCCCTACAGCGCTGGCGTTTGGGCCCAAGTAAAATGAGCGCCTATCCCCCAGAGCAGTAGCAGCGGGAGAGTGGCCGCGATAGCAGGGCATCGGTCGTTTCGATCGAGTTCTCCGCGCTGCATCCCACCCCGACGCGCTGAGTCTGATCGAGGGAGGGAGCACGAGCGAGAACGAGGACTCCCATGGTAGTACCAGGCGCCGAGCTTGGCCCCTCGTCCCGCCTGCCTCTTGCAGCCGACGCGCCAGGCGCGCCCGTTGGCTCGCCAGGGGGTGGGCGAGCTCCTTGCGTTTCCTCTCCTCCGATGGCAGCACCCCCCCTCTGCTCAGGGCTCGCCCTGCTGGCCTCGCTGGGACGTGGCTGCGCGGGCGCCGTTACTGGGCTGGCGTCCGCGTAGTAGTATCCCTGGCACGCACTGACCAGTTGATTGGGGGCGCTCGCCCGGGTCGACCCTGGCCGTGAGCAGATCCGTGGCCGGGGGCCCCAAGAGAGCGAAGGTCGCTGCCGCCGAAAGTGGCCCGGGCTCCGCCGCAGACTCCTCGATGACTAGCGGCGTCGCGCCGCTCTCCTCGGAGCATCTGGGCTGGCCGTTCTGAATGGGCTGCCCCTCATGCTCCCCCTTGTCGCTCGAGTCGCTCTCGCCCGGGTCTGTCCGCGCGCGGCCGTCCTCGGGCCCCGCGACCGTGGCCGTCGCGGCGAAGCTGGAGCGCAATCCTACGCCCAGGGACGCGCCCAGCCAAATCAGCATCGCGAAGATGGCCGTCGCCACGCTGCACTCGAGCGTGTGGACTGGCCGCATCTGGCGGCTGCAGCGGGCCGCGCGACCCCTCCGGCCGCCGCCAGCACTGGAGGGGGGTTCTGGCCGTGCCACTGCCCAGCACTCCTCGGATTGCCTGGCCCGAGCCGCAGGCCGGGTAGTCAAGCTATGGCCCCGCCCGCCCGCCCCAAAAATACTGACCCCGCATGGGGCCGTGAGCCCATAGGGCCACAGAAGAAGGCGGCCACGCGCGCGAACGAAACCCTCTGTCATATCTAACGTCCAACTCCCATTGCATATGTCTCATGGGTCGACCAAGACTGGGTCCCACACGATCGAATCTCACCCGATAGGGCCCCACCCGATAGGGTCCCATACGATAGGCGTCCCACACGAACAGGGTCAGACACGATACGAACGAACGAACGCCAGATCCGCGCGCGCGCCGCGTGGGCGCCCGTGCGCGCCCGTTAGGGCGTGGCGGTGGAGACCGTGGCATCGACATGGAAAAAATCTGTGTTGTGAAACAAAGGCGGCTTCATGTCTCCTCCTGGTCCCACACACATGGCTTCCACATCACAGGGTCCGCACGATAATATCCAACGAGGTGGGGTCCAATAGAATCCAAACGCACATATTGAATGTGTCACTGTTCAATCCACGCCAAAATCAGGTTTCACGGATTGCAAGAATGCGTTCGGATTCGGCCCCCACTATGAAAGCAGGAGCTTGAACGTACCTGCGCTTGTAGTGAATTCTCATGGCCGCTCAGTTTCGAACCGCCCCTCTCAGTAAACTCAGGGGCACACTTAAAATGTGTGATTGCCCGGCTTTTGAATAGCCGCTCGGATTCGAGCCGCCCTCCTCTTGAAGCCATCAAGGGTTTTCTTTACATGTGATCTTACAAAGTTCGCAAATACCCACTTGCATTCGAACCCGCCTCTGAACCCGCAAGGAGAGCTGGAGATACACTTGGACTGTGTACCAGTGAGGGTGAGGATGAAGATCGGATGAGAGTGAGGGTGAGAGTGATGATGATTAGGGTGCCGATGAAGAAAGCGCGAATGTGAAGGTAATTAGGATCAGAGTGAGGATGTGGGTGCCGATGAGAGTGAGAGGAAAGGCGAGGGTGAGGGTGGGTGTGTGGGTGTAAATTCCTGCTCCTGCGAGTGGAGTGCAGGGAACAAAAGGAACCACGCTTAGGATATGGGCAGAAGGTCAAGACGAGACCAGACAAGAACAGTACAAACCAGAACAAACCAAACCAGACGTAGTGAGCCCAGACCACCAGGCCCCATCAGACAAAGCCAAACAAGATCCCATCAGACCGGATCAGGCCAAACAAGACCAGGGCAGCAAAACGAGACCTAAGGAGACCATGCCTCACTAGAACAAGCAAGACCCGACCCAAAACCAAGCCGGATCATTACCAAGACGGGACCAGCCACCTCCAACGCAGACCAGACGAAACTCAGACCAATACCGCATCAAGCCAGACCAGATAAGACAACCAGACCACAAAAGGCCAGACCCCACGAGACACGCAAGTCGATCATAGAGGGCGAAGAAAACAGATCAGCCGAGCTTGACTTATGCAACACTACACACCAACATCAATGTGAACTAACATGTTTACTTAACCTGGGAGCAAAAACTGCGAATCCCGCTGACCCAGTTTCCCTCCGTACAAATGCACGCCCTGCCGTGCTCTCGCAAAGCGCTGTGAATCCTCTTCATCATCTACCTGCTCCATGCCCGTGAACGCCAATTTCCCAGTCTTCATTGCATAAGGGATGTACAGCACGTTCGCCATGAACAGTATCAGATTGCCAGGCTCTAGGAAATTCAAGCGGTACTGAACCCCCCTGATGAAGAGAAGGTAGTATATGTAATAAAGCAATCCACCAATAATCACGGTAAATGAAATACCTAAGAATGTACCTGCCCTTCCTGTCATTGAATCGTACAATGTGTTGAATTTCTGGTAGAGGTGAACTCCAAACATGACATCCTCAATCTGTTCTGCGTAACACAAATCAGCGAAATCTGGGAACGTATCAAATTTCAAGTTCTCCCCGTCGTCGACATGCTGCGCGATGTGAATTGATGCCTTCTCTGCGACGTTCTGGACCTCATCTAAGTCCCAGAAAAATACGGATCCAGCATCGTCGTCGTCGTCGAACTCGTCAAGGAGATCCTCCTGTGAAAGACGACGTCCTGTGATGTTGGGCTTTTCCAGCGTAATTCCGACAAGACGCCTATCGTAGTCGAAGTTCTCCTCCTCCTGTGGGCGGTCATGGGGTTCTTCTGCCACGGACCTACCCTCATGGACCCCGGACCTATTACCCTCCATCTCCAACTGCTCCACCTCCTAATCCTCCTCCTGATTTCCCTCCCCTTCTCCATTATTTTCCCCCAGCCTCCTCCCGACGACCTGGCCCTCCCAATCGATCTCTCCCCACGACCTGGCCCACCACGCCGATCGACCTTCCCGTCGTTGAACGACGAGCCCACTGAGGGCAGTCCGTCCGGAGCAAAGAGGAGAGGGGCGAGAAGCGAGGAGAGAGGAGGAAGGGAAGAGGAGAGAGACTAACTAGGTGCACTCGAACCATCTCTGACATCCTACCCCGTCCACTCATCCCTCCCAATCGCGACGAATTCCCGTTTATCCGCCGGCTGGGGTGTCCCAGATGACCTTGATCCCAAAATGAACCCACGTACGATCCACAGGCAGAAAGAGGGGTTTTGTACACTGGACTAGGAGGACGGGGTGGCGCATGAGCACGAGAATGAGCAGGAGAAAGGGCGGGACGATGAGGAAGTAAGAGGAGCAGCACTAGGAGCAGGAGCAGGAGGAGCTCGAGGACCAAGGAAAGGCGGAGGAGGGAAAACGAGGGGAACGACAGCGACGAGGAACGAATCGGATCCAGAAGTGTGCGGCCCGTGCTGAGGCGGGAACGCACAGCCGAACGACGGGAGCGAAGCGCCGATCCTGAGGTGCGGCCAACGCTGCAGCGGGAGCACCACTTCTGAAGGGACGAAGGCGGTCCGATCGAAAAATGCACCATGCCATGGCAGCTGTCCTTCGCCTGCGCGCGAGAACCAACCCTGTGTGGGAGAGGCGGGCGCCCCGGCACAGCTCAGCACTGGGGGGAAGGAGAGTGGTGCTAACACGCGGCGTCATTGCAGAGAGGAGACAGTTTGGGGAGGCGAGGAGGGAGGAGGGAGGACCAAGGAGGGAGCGGGGAAGGAGGAGGAGGAGGAGGAGGAGGAGCAGGAGAGAAAAGGGAGAAGGCGGAGCATCGTTGAACCGATCCCTCTCCCATTGGCGTGGCCTCGGCCCCCCTGGCCGATTTACCCCCCTTGATGGGGATGGAAGGTTGGGGGTGGGATCGCAGTCGAACGGAGAGTCCCTCACCGGGAAATCGTTTTTGGTTTCGTGTTCGTGTCGTGCGTGCGAGGCGAAGCTGCGTGGGCGCGCGAGGGGAATGATGCCGCCGTGGCTAGGGGCTGTGGAGCCACTTGCCCCGCCCCCCCCCCCCGCGCGCGGTGGTCAGGGATGTCCCGTCGGTGGCGCGGGGGCACCTGCCCTCACCACCACTGTCCCCACTGGTTCCACCACCGTCCCTACTGTCCCCACCAGTGCCCCCACCACTGTTCCCACCACGGTTCCACTCTCCCCACTTTCTCCACGGCCCCAACCACTGCCCGACTATCCCCACTGTCCCCACTGTCCCACTGACTCCTCCGCTGTCCCACTGAGCTGTCCCAATGTTCCCACCACTGTCCCCACTGTCCCCACCACTGTCCCCACTGTACCTCTGTCCCATTGTCCCACCGCCGTCCTCGCCACCGCCTTCACCACTGTCCCCACCACCACTGTACCCTCCACTGTCCCACTGTTTCCACCACATTCCCACTGTCCCCACACCACTGTCCCCACCACCACCGTCCCCACCACTGCCCCATTGTCCCCACTGTTCCCACCATTGTCCTCACCACTGTCCCCACCACTATCGTCCCCACCACTGTCCCACTGTCCCCACCACTGTCCCGCTGTCCCCTCACCACTGTCCCCACCACCACCGTCCCCACCACTGTCTGCACCCCCTCCGGTTTTCGAGGGGGGGAAGGGGGGGGGGTTCGAGCCAGTAGTGACCCCCCCAGTGTTCGAGGGGGGGGGGTTCGAACCGGTAGTGACCCCCCTCCCCCTTTTCATGATGGACTGGAGGGGGGGAGGGGTTCGAATCGGTAATGACCCCCCCTGGTTTTCCGGAGGGGGGGGGTTCGAACCGGTAGTGACCCCCCCGGTTTTCCGCAAGCAGCGGTAGAACACGCTTTTTCTGAGATCTGGAGATCGATACTGAGATCGATCACAACAGATCAACTGGCTGGGGGGGCCCCGCCGTGGCTGGGGGTGCCCCATCGTGGTGTCCCGATGGTGTCTCGTGAAATATATTGTGGGGTCGATAGTGAGATCTCTTGTGATATTGATATTGGGATCAATTATGATATCGATTGTGATATCAGCAGTGCGACCGATATCGAGAGCGATACTGAGATCGATTGTGAAATTCGTTGTAAGATCGATCGTGAGATCTGGTGTGAGGTCGACAGTGGGATAGATAGTGACATCTGTGGTGATGTTCGTAGTGGGATCGATTGTGTTCAAATAGTGTCCCGATGTTGCCCCGCTGTGATATATTAAATGAGAGATGTTGAAATGTTGATGGTAACATCGAACATGAAATACATTGTGAAACCGATAGCCCGATCGATAGTGATATCGATTGTGATATCGATGCTGAGATCGATAATGAAATCGATAGTGCAACCAGTAGCGAGATCAGTCGAATCTGAGGTCGTATCTATGTGGTGTGAGCTCCATCGCGGCTGCATCGCCTTCATTACAACCACTTTGATTCATTACCATCATGAACATCATCGTGACATGTCGCCATTTCATCGCCATCACTGACAAAAAGAAACGAGGGAGGAGAAGGGGCTGCGAGGAGCGAGCCGGCGGGGGGATGGTGGGAGGATCGAGGCGCGACGAGCGGAGAGGACGAGGCGGGGCGGGGGCGGAGAACGGCAGGGGGAGGAGGCAGGGGCGAGGATGGAGGAGCGAGGAACGGAACGGAACGGAAGGCCGGAAGGGAAATGCACGGCACTAAAGTTTAAGCAGAGCTTAAAACGTAACACAAACAAAACTTATCGGAAGGACTCGGCCGCTTTGGCCTGCTCCTTTAAACGGATCCTTTCGTGCAAGGCTGACATACGCTGCTCATAGGAGGGGGATGCCAGGGAACTTGAGTGTGATGTCCCCACGACAGTCGGAGCCTCTGGGACAGGAGGGGCGGCAGAAGGGCCGGGCCTAGCAAGGGGGACCGCGCGAACAAGAGCGGCCCGAATTCTGGGGTTCGGGCACAGACCCTTCCTGAACTCAGACAAAATCTCCAAACCTTTGCGAGAAGGAGCCTCACACTGACGGCCTAACTTCAAACCTCTCCCTTGGGACCAACCCCCGCAGCGAAGACAGAGCATCTGCTCTCTGGACGGGTGCCGACACGACCCAGACGTCACGCCAGGAAACGATCTGGGCCCGACCATGGCGACGAGCTTGTGGCCCATGGGATCGCGGAGCAGACCTCGGAGGAAAGGCGGCAGCCCACGACAACCGTCCAGAGGGACGTTGTCTTTGCTGCCTTCAGCAACCCTGAAACAGTTCCTGCACTGGAGGCCCAGCTCGCTCTTTCTCCAATCATGCCACGACACTTGTCGCCGCGACCTCGGGGCGCTGATTTTGCGGGGCCTTGCCCACGGCGCCTCGTTGTCAAAACAAGGGGGAACACTCGCTGCAAGCTTCAAGGGATTCCCCGCTCTTTCACCAGCCACATTCAACTCGCTACTGAAGTCTGGCATGGGAGCGGGGTGCACCCTTAAACCTTGTTTTGCATATCGGTCAGCAGCAGCATTGGCGATAGCGGAAGCTTTCTCTTCACCTACAAGGCCCTGAATCTCAGACTCATCTCGATGAGCCTTCACATGGCGTATTTCCTTGATCAGGGCCGTGCCTGCTAGCTGCTGCGCAAATGCTCGCACTCCAGCAAACTGGCTGGGCAGGGCAAGCTGATCGTTCACATTTTTCTGACACAGTCTGATGGCGCATTGACAGTCAGGCCCGAGCACTGTTGGACGCGAGGCAATCTGGCCGCAAATCGCAATGCCACAGTGCTCAGCCATGGCTGGCGTCTGCGGCAGCACTCCTGGGGCGATGCCTTTGACTATCGCCACTGGGTCCTCGCCCTCATATGGGCAAACAACTACTGCCCAGGCAGCCCGCTGCAGCGGCCGAATCCAAGGCTTCGTGCTCGAACCGTCGGACGCTAAACGCGGCGGGGACTGGGAGGTTAAATCAGCAATCGCTTCAGGTCCCATGTCCAGCTCGTTTCCTTGCTCGTCGTAGAGATACACCTCAGACGACATGGACGGGCAAGGCAACGAGCTATCATCATACGTATACACACCGCGCGTGAAAATGGGTTGTCAGGATCTTCGCGCGCAGCGTTGAGGAAATATTCAGGCACCTCTGCTGCCGCGCGCGCCTCAACGACTCGGGGGGGGGGGGGGGGGAAGGGGGGGCATGCAGGAATAGAGCCTGTGGTGGGCTGTGTCCTGCTCCCCGCACCCACACAGCCCGTCGCGCGAGCAACCCGAACGCCACGCTCGCTTGTTGGTCCACAGCCCACCACATCCACAGCCCTTGACTAAATACTTCTGAAACCTGTTTAACGTTCTGGCGTTCGGTCCCACGGCATCCCGCATCAGGCCCAGGGTGGCCGTGGTCCCTTTGGGGGGGGGGGGGGGGGGGCGAGCTTCCGAGGAAAATCAAGCTCCCTCTCTCTCTCTGCTGACCAGCTTCCATCTGTGCTGCTAGGAAAGCAGGAGGCGTTACAGACAAATCAACTTTGAGACCTTGGTGATCTATCCATGAGAGCGGACCTTCAGCATGCCATCCAGCACGCTTCAAACTCAAGACGGCTCTGGAGATCGGCCCCTCGGACTTGTTCCAAGACGGGCACTCGAGAGGCCTAGACAGCTCCCAAAGTTTCAATTGCTCGGCATGTGGGACGAGGGAGACATCAGGGCGCCGCGAAGCGGTCCATATCATTCTACACCATTGCACAGCTGGGGCAATAGCGAAGCGGGCGCTTCCGTCACCCAACAAAACACCCTTAGCCGCGAGCGAAACGCCGCCGTGAGCGGGCCCTCCACTTCGGGCCATC